CGAGTCATATATATTTTGACATGGCGACTCGGCGAATTTTACTCGTTTGAACATTTTCATCTCAAACAAATATTTAACATTTGATTCAAAAAGTACAATTTTGATGAGTAACGGAATCAAATAACTCAAAATATACGTTTCCGCATATTATCTCAAGTTTACCCCTATTAATCCTTATTGTGGTAAGGCGAAACAGGCTCTATAGTCAGTTGAATGGACCAAGGCACTACCAGGGCGCCGCAATCAAGCGGCGAAGCGGCTGATTGGCACCGGCGCAGGGTTGCAGGCAATCAGCTGTGTACCGGTTCTGCGCCAGCGCCATTCATTGCGCCGCCGTCGGGTTGGTCCGTGTCGCCTTCGCATGCTCTGGTCCGTGCAATAGACTACCTGAATCTTATAATCCAATAAAATCTTCAACATCGGGTTTTCTACTTCCTTTAGATTTTTGCATAATTAGAAGCACACATTTCCCTGCAGTTTCATTCAATGGGGCGGACAATTTAGTCCGGCAGCGCTGAAACGGACGAATGAACAGCTGGTATCCATCCGGCCCACAACGGGCTGCCGCGCGCGATGACCTGAAACTGGACGAGAACTCGTCCGTCCAGTTGAGCCTTTCGATCAATTCATTGGTCAGCTTGATTCTGTGCGTTTGATTGATTGATCTCAAACGTATCTTCCATCGAAAGCCGATATGCCATTTAACAGACGCATATGACTTTTGGTAGGATCGTGTTTGAATGATTAAACTCTGCTTCTTTCCGTTTTGCTTTTCGAATTATCTTTCTAACGTGCTGTTGCATTCTTTTGGATAGGTACTACATGCGTTCTTGTTTTTTTTTATTTGAGTATAAATTGTTTAAGGAGTTGCTTCCCGAAAGTTCACTGGCCGTATTCAATAATGGACTTCATGTCGTTGTTGGATACGGCGAATAAGAACATTAAAAATGACTCGAAAAAGTTGGATGAGGTGAAAACTGACTTGGACCATGAGCGGCGTGCTGAACTGAAACGAATAGAAGCTGAAAAGCGGGAGAAGATGGAAATGCTTAAACGAAAGAAAGCAACTTTACCGCCGAAACCCGTCCAGGAGGAGAAGAAGGTTTGGAAGCTGTGACTCTTTCTTAACTGACAATTGATTTTCGTTGCTATATATTTGCAATTATGAATGTAATTAATTAACTCGAATATCATTTTATCTCAACGTCCTTGGTACCTTGCAGTTCACTATCCCTAAGAAAAGTAAGGAGAAATCTGAAGAGGATAAAGCGAAAATTCTTGCATACATGGAAAAGAAAGCTGAAGAAGAACGTCAGCTTCTGAAGAAAAAACAAGCCGAGAAGGAAAAACTTATCCAGCTACGCTTGCAAGCGCATGGTGGAAAGGTATGTTAATTTCATCCTATTCGTCTTTCAAACCATTCTCTTCCACCGACTTGCATATTGTGCAAATTTCGACCACTACGTTCACATCCTTTCATCCTTTTTTCTCGCTTTCTCCAGCAACTCTGACACTTTACATCAGCACTGTTTTTTTTTGTCCGATGATTCTCGGCCTCAACCGCAGCAATCTGTACTTATAATTTTTTTTCTCGAATTCACCAAGTTTGTAGAAGTTGGGCCTATTAGAAAGTTTGCATCCTGTGCCTTTTTATAAAGACCTTATGAGGCTCTAGATTTAGACGCTTTCAGGCGACAAAGCGAATTGCTAAAACTTTTGGAATGAATGCATTGGATCTGCAGATAAAATACGGGCATGATCACGAACACGTGGAGCGCCTCCAAAAACAGCAATGGCGCGAGGAGGCAAGTTCTCACTGATCTGTCATCTTAGTTTGTGGGTGACTTAGTCGAGAAATTCCAGGAAGAATGTGAACAACTTGCGGACAAGTACAGGAATGGAGTGTACAAGGCTCTTGCACAGAAGAGGAAAATCGATGAAAAAGTCGGTTTTTCTAATGTGGTAAAGAAATTTCTCCTTGTGTTTCGCGCTCTTTGATTTCCGTTTGTTTTTGTCTAAGATGGAGCTGGCTGCTTTTTCTTTTGCAGATGAGAGCTTCTGGTGCCCTAAGTAACAGAGAACCACATCGAATTGCCACGAGTAAATCTAATAGTCTTATGGGACTGTCGAGCCGTCATCAGGCTAGGTAAGTGCTCTGTTCGTCAAACGTCTAATCAAGATCATCAGAAATAATTCTAAAATTAAAATTTTATATTGGAGAGCGTTCACTTTCATAAACCTCATTACTTTGTAAGCTCCCTTTTTCCTCTTTTTGGAACCTCGCATGTAGCTTAGTATCTACTGTGTTAGTAAAGCGCACGATTATGAAAACTTTATAAATGGTGGCTAATGTTGTTAATATA